AATTAGTATCTACCACTATATAAACAAACAGAATAGAAGAATTTAGCAAGTATCATCGATTTTTTGGGTTTTCATTTTCCAAGCAGCAGAAATAAATGTTACATACGTCATGCATAAAGAAAGATTATATATGCTGAGAATTAAACAAAAATATTAAAGATAAGTAATTCGAATAATGAAAGTTACTAATTGGCATGAAAATGAAGCACACACACCTCTTCCAGTTATCAAATGCATCACCCGTAGTACCACCAAATTTAATATAATGTTTTGTCAAAAACTTTTCTTTGCTCTGATAAAATAAAACAACACCTAATATGTACGAATGAAATATCCTCCATACAACACATTGAATGATAAAGAAAAGTTTAACAAAGTTATCAGAAACGCCGACAACAAACAATGGGACAACAGTAGCATAGAATATAATAATGGTAACAAAAAGATCATTTGTACGTAAAGGGTCAAAATTCTTAAAAACTATAAGATCACGAAAGTGATAGTTTAATGTAGGGGATAAATCTGGAGCAGAAGACTTGATGGACTCGTTTGAAGATATTTGCGAATGAGTATTTGGTACGATTTGTTTTGAAAGTTTAGCATTAAGAGGCGTTGGTGGATTATATATTTTGTCAATATCTGCGTATAAAGGAGAAAATAGAAACTATATGAATTAAATCGGAACAAGTCAGATATATATTTTTTATTTTACTTACGAGGATTTTCAACTAATGATAAAAAGGCTAATTGTGAAGCATGAGCTGCCAAGCTTATGAATAACACAGTATAGCTAGCCATCATCAAAGATATGCCATAATAGCCTATATATCCAACTGAATACATTGGATGTGGTGCCATTTCAAATACGCCCTCAAACGTTAGTGATTGATCAACAAGGAAGAAAAAGTCACCCCAATCTATAATGTACACAAATCATGATTAATCGAAAAATATAATTTTTTTTTTTTTGAAAAAAAGGGAATCTAAAAACACTCACACCAAGCGTAATCTTTGACAACACGATGTGCATCTCTTTTCACCCAAATATTGAACCATAACAACGATAGGCCACCAACCCAACGCAAGATATTCATAATGATGCCAGAACTTTCAGGAATATTAAAATTAGCAAGTGCAAAGCAAATATATGTGGTGAAATCATTCAAAAGAATAAGATCAACTAGTTGACGGAAGAGCAGCCATGTGTTAAACTCTAAAGGAACATCCTATGTACAATAAAGTCAAATATCATTAGTAAAATTAGTTTAGTATTAAAAAATTATACATATGTTAAACAGCTGAAAAAAAAAATTATTACATCAAAATTATAATCATCACCCATTTTAACACTCAATTCCTCTTTAAAAAAATTATACAACTTGCCACCCTCTTTTTTATTAAAGATCTTTAGACGCCTGACCCACGATACTATTCCATTTTTATCACTTTGATATTTCAGTAACATGCCTAGTCCAAAATTGTACGCAGTTCTCCAGAGTATGAAAAGAAATAAGAAAGTCCATTGTCTGATATGTGATGGAAGAACAAAAAATAACACTATTTGAAAACTCATGATTGCCAGGATTATTACATCGAACGCGGATTTTTTAGAATTAGGTTCGAAAACAGAGGTTAACATGTCAGCGGTTTGCGGTACTTTGAAAACTGTAAGTAGTAATATATTTTAGAAAAATAATGATGAAACAATGGGCGCACGCAAGAGGATAATTTTAAATTAAAAATATCTGCTCTAAATCTATAATCTATGCGATATAAAATGCTGTAACGCGTATCAAAAATCGCACGATTCAACATAATTTATACTTAAGATTGAATTTTTTTCTTTATAGTTTACAATACCTTCACCACTTGGCGTCTTTCCATTGACAACATTTTTCTTTTTAATATCATCATTTTTTAAAACGTGTTGATTATCTTTTGCATTTACTGCTAAATTGTCAACTGTTTTCTCAGTACCAGAACTCATTATATTACAAAGTTGTGATTTTTTTAATGTCAAAAATTTTATAATGATCCGATTGTTAATTGCTGGATTGTAGAAAAAAAATGTCCGCGCTTTTTAATTATTTTTGTCCGTGAGGACATGTGATATTTCACAACATGACAAAACCAGAGTTTTATCATCGTACAACAGTTGTCTGTTAGCCCAATTATCCATTCAGAGAAAATCTTCTCATGTAAATCAACCACTTTTGAAAGACCCTTAGCGTTACAAAGTACCAAATTAATGTGTAACTATTGCTTTTAGAATAGTGTCGTGACTCTGAAATAAGAAAGTCTTGTGACTATACTTTAACAATATATCTGGTATTCATGTGAATCATGAGAAACATAAATCTATATGGTTATATACAGTACATAGGAAAATGAGATTTTAGTAAGTCGGATTCTCTGCATTATTTTTTCTGTAACGAAATATTTGGTGTACAAAAAAAAAGAAGTATATTTATTTTGGTTTACTATCGCTGTTTTTGAAATGGTTGAGAATAGTGAGCTTCACAAAAAAAATTTTTTTATGCGAATACCTGAAAACCCGAATAGTTCAGAACACTGATCGATAATCGATTCCGATTTACATATGCACTCGTATAATTGTTTTAATGTTCTAAACTAATCGGGTTTTCGAGTATTCGCATAAAAAAAATTTTCTTTTATAAATCTTGCTATTCTCAACCATTTCGAAAACAGCGATAAATAGGTACTAAAAAAAAAAAAAAATGGGGATGTGTGCTACTTACATCATTTCGCATATATTACGCACCATTCTGTATTATTATACGTATCAGTGCTAATAAATTCAAATGAAAACCCAAAAAATCGATGATACTTGCTAAATTCTTCTATTCTGTTTGTTTATATAGTGGTAGATACTAATT